ATATACCACGGAAACCGATACTTACAGAAGTAACGCGGTTAATAGCTCGTAGAATTTCGAGCCCTTGTAAAATGACCAGATAATCAGTTTGCACTTGAAGATTATTGCAAACGTTTTAATGGCCTCTTCGTCGTATAAAGCGTCTGACGTAAGGGTCGTGGGGGTGGGGGGCATTGATTAATAGAGAACTAATGGGGGAATAGCTGTCCACTATAATCATGATGTCTGGGCACTCTGCTTTATGTAGGTGTTATATGTGTCACCTGTGGGGCCGGGCTTCTGTGAGGTCCGTGCTTTTTCCCCTGTTGAAAAGTAGAAGGCTTTAAGCATTTCTGGAATGCTCAATGCTAAAATTCGAGGTTGAAGTATGAAGAGATTTTGAATTTAAGCCAGGATATTATGCCGCGCCTCTATTAGGCAAATATTCAATAAGCAAGATGTATTTGATACATGTACATTGTTTATCAACAGAGAATAGTCAGTAAAAAAAGCACTCCGCACTTCACTTAAAATCAAAACTTCATTTACCCGGAGGACTTTCTTTATCATCTCCTTCGTTATACTTTTATTATCCTTATTTGTAGTTTTCTTTAGAAATGATGAATCTTAAGCTCCTGTTAATAATTAATTGACATGGCTAAAATACAAGGAATGCATATGGCAGACTTGCCTTATATCACACGAAGACAAAAAAGTGGTCTTAAAAACACATTCTAGAATTTATATTTAATGGACATCTACTTACTTCTTATTTGCGAGAGGGATTTGTGTGTAATTCATTTTCTTATTTGAAAATTTGTAAAAAAAACGAGGTAAAAGTAATATCAGTTTCACATAACACATTCCTGAAATTCAGCTTCAAGATACCGCATATCACAAGACGATGGCGCCATCTTTAGCCAAAGTAACACATTACAAATATATCTATGTCGCAACTGCTGCAATCGACGGGCAATCCACGACAGTAGGGGATCACGAAGATGTGTAGAGTCCACGACTGATTTTAGCTAGCATTTGCGAGTAAAAAAGATTATCGAAGCGAGAAAAGGCCGCGTATGCATGTTAATGTCCGTAAGACGTATATAGTTTGTGTGTTTAAGACCTCATTCCTATATGTATTATGTGATTTTTCAACATCTTTTTCCTGTAATTATGTTTGGTTATATGGTTGTCTGTTACAGATACATGACCAAATTTAAGACTGTTCACGAATTGCCTTTCACATAAATACGCATATATTTTTAATGGGTTGAATTTAAAATACAAAATATAAAACTAGAGAAAAGCGCTAAAACTGTGGGAAATGGTAAGCCAAAAACATTATATTGATAATATGGAAATAATTGCGCAGACAATCTGTAAGAAATCAGGAATACGACTGCCAGTGCAAATAGTAAGATTTGCTTCTTAGAGTGATGGCGATTTGAATATTACGATAATTACTAGGTGATGTATGAGTCATGGAGATGAGTAATTTACCTGAGTGACGTCATTTTTATCTTGCATGTCAATAAGAAGAAAAGTGCATGTAGAGAGAAAGCAAGAGCATCCAGTTATCATATTTTAAATAGATATTACTCGAGTTGGATTCAGGATTAAAAAAAAAAAATATATCCATGATCTCCAAAGCTTTGTGACACTTTGGAGACATTCACGATCCAAGAAAAAAAAAATTCATGATATGCATACCTTCAGTTTTCACTCCCAGTAAAAAAAAGAGAGTTTTAGACGGGTAAGAGGGATGCAACATGTGTCTTTTTATCGTAAATGTAAAATGTAATTAAAAGAAAATGAATTTTTCTCTGAGGGCACCGATACCAATGAATACTGTTTAAATTGAATTGCCCAGAATTTTGTGAATAATTTTGGCCTGGCACGTGCTTTCTTAGTAATGCACAGCGTCATTTCTCCCTTTTTTAGTTTTTTTTCTTTTTTTTTTCATGCAGTTTTTATATACCAAATTCCTCGCTTGCAAATAATTGCAGAGATGCCGATACAACGAACATAGCGTTTCGGCGCAGAAGATTTTGCCAAGCATCATAAATAAAAGGTCTGCGAAAACCAATTAGAGAGATATTCACAGATGATTCAATGCGAACGGTTCTCGCAGGCATGCTACAAGGCTGCAACGATAAAAGCGACAGAGATTTATGTAAAGAAATTGCTCGCGTCCGTGGCTCAAATGAACCATTTTAGACGGTGAGACATAAAAATGCATTTAATGCGGGTCTCTCACGCACAATCAGAGTTAAAATGCAATTATCAATCGTCATCCCGCCTTGCATTCACATCGCCTCGACTAGATTGTGTTGACGCATGCGTGAAACAAGCAAATTAGAAAATGAAATGATTGGTTGTTTGCGTTGTGTATGTATATTAGGAATGTAGTGCAGGCTGAATAGATAGTTATGCAGTGAGGTGAAGTGTAGTTTTATTGTCAAGTGTGTGAGGCAACATGCCTGTGTGGATATCATTGGCGTTTAAACATTCTTATTTGAAACAAAAACGTTGAATGAATTTAAAAACTAACCGTGCTAGTAAAATACACTAGTAAAAAAAAAAGTTAACTGAAATAACGTTTGCTTAGCTTAAAGGCCGGTCGGTCCCTTCACCGGTTACATGCTATTTTCTTTAATCCTTACACTTTCGATTAGTTCTTACTAAAAGTAAATTTTCTGTGAAGCACGCTAACTCTTACGTAGCCTTTTATATATGTAATTTTCAAGAGTTTCCCTTTATTTTGATTTCAATAGCAATTTCATAAATTCGATGACATAACTGGAATATAACTAATATATAACACTGGAGAGGAGTTTACACTTATAGCAATTGTCTGTGAAATGGCATTTTAATGTTGTTTGTTGTTATATCTGTGTAGATGGAGTTGTAGGATTCGGATTACCATAAAACTTCCATCAAATGAAGTTTTTGTACCATTATTGTATTTTTAGCGCAAGGGCAACTGATAAAATTATTTGTAAATTTTTTCATTCTTTTTTCTTTTCATAGTATCCACTGTATCATATCCTTCAACGCCATTCAACTACAATTATGTTTTCCATTTAATTTCATGTTGCTTGGTTTTGTTTGCCCATGAGAACATCGTCTGCGTTTATTTTCGTTCTTTTTTTCTCTTTAGACATGGTGGGTGAGAGACGGAGGGAATGGCGCCCGAAGGTCAGAGGTCAATCTGCTTGGGCGACCTTGCTACATGCGCCACACACGACATGTCAAAAGTCAGGAACCGCTGTCCAGAAACAAGTGGTATTTGCTCTTTTTATGCCTTGATGGAAGAGAGAGAGAGAGAGAGAGAGAGAGGCGAAAGAGAGAGAAGAGAAAAAGAGAAAAATAGTTTTAAAAATAAATACTTTACAATTGATAAAATTATTTTCCCCAAAAATTATCCATTGCAGTTACCTATTAGAATAAGAAAGTAAAAAGCAACATATTAATTTATCCTATATCTTTACAATAAATGTAAAACTTATTAATAATGTCAGGGAGTAGTAAACGATTAAAAAGAAAATCAAACCCAGACGACGTAACGATGTATATTATTCCACAGCAGTTGTATTTCTGGTATATAATAAATGAAAATGTACAAATATAGATAAGATTAAAAGCAATTCCTCAGTAAAAATCACAAACTCTGAACAACGCCTACCTATTGCTTTAGCTTTGAATGATCTAATTTTTTAAGACAAAACAGTTTGAGTGCATGCCAAACCGATTTACCGCGAAAAAAGTAGATTAATTTTTAGTCTTCCGTTCAGCTCGCAACTAAGCTATGATGATGAATGCCTCAGAAGATAACCACAATTTGAAAGTCAAAGCAATTTTCCTAGGTCTCTATTTTTAATGGCGGTTATTTAGATAATAGAGCCGGGTAACTATTCAAAAGTCGTTTGTTTTTGCTTGAAAACGACATCTGGAATCGTTTGTAACGGTGAAATCGACATGTCGATGGNCAAGGCTGCAACGATAAAAGCGACAGAGATTTATGTAAAGAAATTGCTCGCGTCCGTGGCTCAAATGAACCATTTTAGACGGTGAGACATAAAAATGCATTTAATGCGGGTCTCTCACGCACAATCAGAGTTAAAATGCAATTATCAATCGTCATCCCGCCTTGCATTCACATCGCCTCGACTAGATTGTGTTGACGCATGCGTGAAACAAGCAAATTAGAAAATGAAATGATTGGTTGTTTGCGTTGTGTATGTATATTAGGAATGTAGTGCAGGCTGAATAGATAGTTATGCAGTGAGGTGAAGTGTAGTTTTATTGTCAAGTGTGTGAGGCAACATGCCTGTGTGGATATCATTGGCGTTTAAACATTCTTATTTGAAACAAAAACGTTGAATGAATTTAAAAACTAACCGTGCTAGTAAAATACACTAGTAAAAAAAAAAGTTAACTGAAATAACGTTTGCTTAGCTTAAAGGCCGGTCGGTCCCTTCACCGGTTACATGCTATTTTCTTTAATCCTTACACTTTCGATTAGTTCTTACTAAAAGTAAATTTTCTGTGAAGCACGCTAACTCTTACGTAGCCTTTTATATATGTAATTTTCAAGAGTTTCCCTTTATTTTGATTTCAATAGCAATTTCATAAATTCGATGACATAACTGGAATATAACTAATATATAACACTGGAGAGGAGTTTACACTTATAGCAATTGTCTGTGAAATGGCATTTTAATGTTGTTCGTTGTTATATCTGTGTAGATGGAGTTGTAGGATTCGGATTACCATAAAACTTCCATCAAATGAAGTTTTTGTACCATTATTGTATTTTTAGCGCAAGGGCAACTGATAAAATTATTTGTAAATTTTTTCATTCTTTTTTCTTTTCATAGTATCCACTGTATCATATCCTTCAACGCCATTCAACTACAATTATGTTTTCCATTTAATTTCATGTTGCTTGGTTTTGTTTGCCCATGAGAACATCGTCTGCGTTTATTTTCGTTCTTTTTTTCTCTTTAGACATGGTGGGTGAGAGACGGAGGGAATGGCGCCCGAAGGTCAGAGGTCAATCTGCTTGGGCGACCTTGCTACATGCGCCACACACGACATGTCAAAAGTCAGGAACCGCTGTCCAGAAACAAGTGGTATTTGCTCTTTTTATGCCTTGATGGAAGAGAGAGAGAGAGAGAGAGAGAGAGGCGAAAGAGAGAGAAGAGAAAAAGAGAAAAATAGTTTTAAAAATAAATACTTTACAATTGATAAAATTATTTTCCCCAAAAATTATCCATTGCAGTTACCTATTAGAATAAGAAAGTAAAAAGCAACATATTAATTTATCCTATATCTTTACAATAAATGTAAAACTTATTAATAATGTCAGGGAGTAGTAAACGATTAAAAAGAAAATCAAACCCAGACGACGTAACGATGTATATTATTCCACAGCAGTTGTATTTCTGGTATATAATAAATGAAAATGTACAAATATAGATAAGATTAAAAGCAATTCCTCAGTAAAAATCACAAACTCTGAACAACGCCTACCTATTGCTTTAGCTTTGAATGATCTAATTTTTTAAGACAAAACAGTTTGAGTGCATGCCAAACCGATTTACCGCGAAAAAAGTAGATTAATTTTTAGTCTTCCGTTCAGCTCGCAACTAAGCTATGATGATGAATGCCTCCGAAGATAACCACAATTTGAAAGTCAAAGCAATTTTCCTAGGTCTCTATTTTTAATGGCGGTTATTTAGATAATAGAGCCGGGTAACTATTCAAAAGTCGTTTGTTTTTGCTTGAAAACGACATCTGGAATCGTTTGTAACGGTGAAATCGACATGTCGATGGAGAATTAATGGCATTTCTGGCTGGTCCAGCGTCCACAAGGGCCTGCCACTTAATGAAACTGTAAATATCGCTCAAATCAAGCGAATAGACCGTGACTAGCCGGGTCGACCGGGGGATCGTTGTAGAGAGAATAATGGTCCCAAACAAAGCAAATGATGGGGGTAGAGGGGATGAGATATGGGACTCGGGGTGGGGGGGGGGGGGGCGTGGACGAAGCTTAGCTGTAAAAGTTATTTTAGCAGAGGCCTAGATAATCTGCTGGTTCACAACCATGGTATTAAAATCCGAAATCAAAAGGCCTTTAAGCCAGAGGTGTAATGTACAAGATAGCACGGCAGCGATTGAGATGACAAAAACAACATTTGATGTTTTAATTGGAATAATATTAAGGGTTGTTTTACGAGGGACAATCTCGCCTGCGTTTCTGTTAAAGGGGTCAGTTTGATTTACTGCAAAAAGGCGCAACCTTTTAGAATAGTAAGAAGTAAGTCACTGCTGCTTTGAGCAAAAGGACTGTGCCTACGTATGGATTAAAACTAACGTCTGGGATTGCAAACTTCTTTTCTTAATCAAGTCAAAAGCGTGACTTAAAATTAAGTCCTAGTTCAAGGTGTTTCTTTTTCAAATCGATAGAAGAGAATAGGGATGCCAAAGAAAGATAACAGTTCAAAGGGTTTCTCATCTTCTCAGATGTCATTGGCTCTTATTTCCTCGCAATTTCCTTTTTTGTGCCCACTTCAATACAAAGTCAATTAAAAAGAATCTCTGGAAGCTAGAGCGCTCCAAGACACCGCGGCTGCACAGTTGATTTTGAAAAACAGGAAGCGTCAGGAGCACCGTCTGCTCTTAGCAAATAAAGCTTCTTTTTATAAAATCAGACAGGTCTTCACGCAGTTTCCGAGGGATCGATTCATTGCCGAGCTCGACAGAATGAAATTCACTTCGAAGATCACCGGTCCAAGACCTTTATGTTCGATTAGATTCCAGGATTCTAGCTCAGATTTTCACAATCCATTTCTAACCATTCTACGGATACCGATGGACCCCTGAACCAGTCTTTATAGCATCGACGTTGAATTATACCCACACCTGGCCAAGTTGCAATTTGTAATGGGGCCTGATAGTGAAACAGACGTACTTGAGTTACCTGGAATGATCCTGGGGTCCGTTTCCAGGTTTCCGATTGTTTTCCATTCCCCATAGATTTCATGCTGAGCTCCGCTCGCGAACTTGATGCTTTGACAGTTCGTTCCCAAGCGATCTTTCCTGAGTGGTGCACTTGATCAGGGTTTGATCAGATAGGCGGGCTCGAATTTTTGAAAACCGATCTGCGTCTTTTTATCGTGTTTCTTGCAAATGAATGGACCGGTGACTCGGTCGTTTCTCGTTCTTGATTTATATATTTTTTGTTCATTTTTGTTACGATTGAAGTCTGGTAGAGTTAAATGGTTGTAAAGGACGCAGGTGTAGGGAATAGGAGAGTTGAGATGAAAAACGGCGATAAAAGAAAAGACGGGCAATTAGGGACAGCTATGTTTCGAATCAATGCAAATGTTGAAAAAAATAGAAAAAGAAAAAAAAAATACTTAACAGAGAAAAAGAAATTAGACTTTGTAGTTTTCATAATAAAAAAATCAAATTTCAAATATATACTAAGGATGAGTTTAATCTATGCTTTCACGTGCAGTAAAATTGCATTTTATTGATCTCATACATTTTTTCATTTTCATTGCTCAAAACATTTAGCATTGCAAACATTCCCGTGATTCATAGATAGCAAATGTTGCATAAGTATTTTCGTTTGTGCTGCGTTCTTTAGATATGATTAAAATGTATGTTTTAGGGTTAATTTTCTTTTTATGAAACAAAGAAATACCAATTAATATAACATAATCTGTTTCTTGTGTAATTACAAGAGGTGAGATAAGGGAGCAATAAATTTGTCGTTCGTTATCGGTTGAACCAATTGAAAATAACAACAAATGCCAAACAATAGCAATAAAATATAAATAAAATAATTCATAATATGATTTAGGGCAACGAAAACCATCTTTAACACCGCTTACCTTGAAGGCAATTTCTGCTAAATTCCAATGAAAATAGAGACTCGGGTATATAAAAATAACTACTGATACTTTTCCGACTATATGTAACTATAAGTAGAAAATAAGCCTACTTGTAGTGTAAAAGTCCATGTTTAACATTTATTATCTCTACACATTTACCTTAACAAACGGATGGACAACGTTCAGTCTACGGTCACATAGACAGGTAAGTTACTCCCCCCCCCCCAAAAAAAAGTCAAAATTTGAAAAAAAAAAAAAAAAATCCCACCTAGACAGTTACCTATAATCAGTAATAGTATTACAAGCAGTATAGCACAGTTGACACTACACAAAAGTTCCACTTAATTTCTCCAGTGAAGCACGGAAGGTCTGTACATTGATGACTACCCATGCACTCTGGCCAGTGGAATTTTTTATCAGAATTATGCCGCGTTTTTCGAGAGTGACCAGAGTGTAAGGCTTACATACTACCCAAATAACGCACTTTTTCAGGTAAATTTAATTTAATTTCGAAATTAAGTGCACACTTTCATTAGGAGAATATGCTTTAATGGATTAAGACAAACTCCAGGGATTCAGTAAAATGTAAAAGGTAGCAATAATGATAGCGGGGAGCCCCCACGGCACAGCAACTCACACAGAGAGGGGTGACGTGTGTTAGCATTATGCATACAGCGAATTTAGCCGTTTCCGGAGACAATTTAAAGAAAATCAGAGAGAACAATATGTTTTGGATAAAAAAAAGAATATTGAGACCACATGCAGGTCTCTGCTGTCGATATATTCCCATTTCTAAAATTTCTGGAATGACAATAATTTCTCCAAAATGTGTATGAAAGTAGAGGAAGCTGATGCGTATACATGGATTTCAAACATACTCCCTAACCCTGTTCTTCATACTTCCGAAACGAGAAAGAATTATTAATGGCGTATCAATTAAAACTATGGGACGTATTCCCGTGCTTAAATAACAAAATGTCGCAATCGACCTTTCTAAGTATTACAAATACAGTGGCTAATGGAGGCATTTAGAAGGTATATAGACGGTATCTATAATATAGGTATATAGAAGGTATTTATAAAATACACTTACCTGACGTAGGCAGCGCGCAGTGCCACTTCTTCTTTTAGCAGAAATATCCAATATCATTTGCTCGGGACGAGAAGAGCACAAGTATTCGTTCTGGTATTCTAATTGACCCCTGTAGTCAAGATATAAGATTATCAGTCTAGTTTTATGTCTATTAAATGTGTAGGGACGGTGTTTTAATGGTGATAAAACTGTCAGTGGAAAAGGCGAAGGGGTTTTAAGGTTCTTAACGGATCTTTGGTTTTTATTTCTTATTTATCTATTTGTTATTTACTGCATAAGGATGTTTCTCGGGCCACCAACGTCGGATTGATTGCATTTGACTGTGTTTTTGAGCAATTCACTCCCTCCTTTTTATTTGATTATTTATATCTGTAACTGAGCACATGCAAAATAGATATCGAAAATATATTTCAATCTCTGGTATAAAATAACTTAGCGGTCCATTTTAATTTTTGATATGCTATGATTATTTAATCATTTTATCTTAACCGTGCAAAAATGGAAAAAAAGGAAAAATGATGAAATAAAAATATAATTGAATAAAGAATACTTCAAACACTATATGTATATATGTTGAAAAATTATTTTTATCGAACAGAAAAAAAAACTGCGGTTTAATTGAGAGAGATTAGCCATGGATTATATAGCGATTAAATAGGACTGACTTTCTAGTTTGATTATGAAAACGACAGGAGAGAAAAAGTGCAGTTATCAGAACTGCAGACGGTGGTTTAAAAATAAATACACATTTAGAGCAAAAATGAACACAGGTAAAAGCTGTATGTGAAAGCAAAAAAAAAAAAAAAAAAAAAAAAAAAAAAAAAAAAAAAAAAAAAAAAAAAAAAAAAAAAAAAAAAAAAAAAAAAAGAGAGAGGACTTCAGCATATACGCTCTCCCGAGCTAGTTACCGAAAATGCAAATACGGTAAAAAGACACATACATACCATCATCTGTCAATATTAACCCTAAGCTGTATTAACGTCAGGGTTAATAACTGAACCGGTCCGTGATACAAAACACAAACCGGCTACTTTTCAAAAACACAAAAAATAAATACACCACAATTCCGCTCTGATTATGTGACGAGTTTACCGTCTACAGCCGTCTGTGGGGTAAACGACTTAGGCCAGGAGGGAGATGGGGGGACGGTTACAAAAAAAAGGAAAAAAAACTTTACATTGAAAGTTGATTTTTACTTAGCGACCAACGTTTAAGTCCGCTTCCGTTAAGACTAACCTCATATGAAAATCTGTTTAGCGGAAAGTAAGGAAAATGCAAATGTTGCAGATTGAAAGTTAAAATATGTTACAGTAGATAAAACGTACAAGTACCACGAATTTACCCCGTATTACGTATTAAAATATTGGACTAAAAATTAAGACCAGCAATCGATCTAAAGTTATTTTGAGAAAATGGCTCCAGAAAAGAGCTGTCAAGTTTGTGTCCTGTGCGTCGACTATAAATTATTTCGTCATGGACGAGGGGAGGAATTTGTCATTTCAGTCAGAGTTGCTTGTTTGATGTAATGTCTCATACCCTTCACAACGATTCATTACAATAGGATGACATATAGGGTATAATGCATTTAAAGCGATTATCTTCGTTATTTTTAAAATATCATTATTGGATCAGCTTTTTTGCTTTTAGCAATATTATTTTGTATTTAAATTATGAAAATTATAGCATAGTTTGATGTCTGAGCATACTAACACGTGTAGTTATTTTTCTACTTCCCTTATTCACTCTAATTCTAGAGTTAAACATATTGTTGAATTATTTATATATTTATGTATGTATATGTTTCTATGTATTTATTCACTTTTCCTTTTCCGGATCAAGAATCCGCGTCTTTAAAAACGTGACTTACTTTCTCGTAGTGTAAATGTATTATAAAGCAGCAACCAAGTTCACCAATGCAATGTAAATCTATGTGCATTACACATGTGTGTATTTAGACCTCTACACGTTTCTCCTAACTACTGTATTCCTTACACAAAACATAAACAACAAGAACAAATTGCCAACAAATGCCGAATAAGGTTACATAAAACAAATTGATAACCAATAGTGCGGCCTTACATGATTAGAAATAAGGATCAATACATTAAACCATGTACGGTTTTGCTCCGGTGTATCTAGTTACTTTCAATTACACCTCAAAAAGCTCATTTCGTGTTTTATTAGCAGGATATTACTACAGATGTGTAGCTCTTGTTGTAAGAGGACACCCGCGCGAACTGATGAATAGGGCTTATTTTAACGAAATTCGGCGCGTGCACCCCAAAATGTGAATAAACACAATTTAAACGTGCAGGTTAATATTCCTTAAATGTCTCCGTGTCAGAAATAGACACCGCGGATAGAAAGATGCAGAGAAATTGACACATGAAAGTAATACCCAGGTCATTAATCACGCACTTAATATAAGTCTTGACAGTGATTGGCTAGATGTTCTCGGATCTCCCTACGGAGTACAAAAGCTGAAAGAATACTCCGCATAGAACATATCTGATAAATACTGGAGCTATGACCTAGAGAGATCCTAGCCATGTGTCATAGAGATAGAATCGAATTTCTCTCTTTTTTGTAAAAAGGGACGCTGAAAGAAAATTTAATGAATAATCCTCATGCTCGGCGAGATTGGCATGGCTGCGTTGGAAAATTGACAATGGAGTTTCATCAACCGCTGAAGAAGAAAAAAATGGAAAATGAACTAAAGAAGAGGAGACAGAGACTTGGGTTGTCTCGACCTTGGGCGTTTTCATGAAAGGAAATCTTAATCCCCAATATCTGTTTAGTGTTCCTTCCAACCCCGAAGGCGAGATGTATCAAACGCGTGCTTGTTATTTATATTTTTCAACATCTGTCGTTCCATCACCGACGCGACAGCAAATCCGCGTTACGTTTGACATTTCCCTTGTAAAGGAAAAAAGTCATTATTATTAAGCTCACTTCAATGCAGCTAATAAATCGTAGACTCACTTGTTTACACCTAATTACAGTTACTGAATAATTTACAAGTACAAATTTGCAGTCAGTTGTAAAGAAAAATAGGGTCATATTTAAGCACAATGTTGGCTAAGGACCGCATCCGCGAGCAGTAAAAAACAATGCGATACATTGTTAAGTATTTATTGGATTGTTTCAATGACAAGCGTCATTAAGTCATCTGTGTAACATTACGCGGTGCGTTTTTTTTTTCTGTAAAAGTTTGGATATCGATTACCGTTACCTCAAGCTGAATTTCGATAAAAACGTTTATGTTTACTTTCAAACAAATTTTAGTTATTTTATTTATATTGAAAAGGGAAACTATGTTGTTTACTTGAGAAATTGCGATTGTCATTATCTTAAATATTTGGTTCTTAAATGTATTTTAAATGTGAACGAAGACACCGTGAAACGCCAATTTAATATGTGATTTTGATCATTTTGACCTGTCGCCATATACCCAGCAAATTATTATCTCTGAATTATAAGCATACCCAATTTGTTGAAAAATTATATAGACACTTATATCCATACAAAATGAAAAGAGTATATATACACACGCACATGACGCTGGAAAGTGAGTACTTAGATTAATCAGAGATTGGAAATAATGGTTTATATTTTGAATAGGCACAACCTGAACAGTAATCTATATAAAATCAATAAACACACTTTTTACAACTGCTGATATATTGCCAAAAACCTTAAAACCAATGAAACAAAAAGAAAAAAGGTGGTCTAATGTGGTAATGTGTGAAAGAAAGAAAGAAAGAAAGAAAGAGAGAAAGAAGGAAGGAAGAAAGGAATGGAAAACAGAAAAAGAAAAGCATAGAATGGATTTGTATTGAACAAAAGAAAAAAAAATAACTTAACTTTACTGAACTACTTTAAGATAGAAAAAACATAAGTAATGTTGAAAAGAAAGGAATACTGTACTCCTATTAGAACTTTGTGTGGCAGAAAATACACGCTGCTGCTGTCTTCGCCCCCATACCTCTCTCTTTCTATCTGCAATCTTAGCACACTTCCCAGAATGCTCCGCAGGCTCTCCTAGACCCTCCTCCCGCTCTTGACTGACGCGTGGCGAGCCCGCGCATATATAAACCTTAACAAAAATCGAATTTTCTTTTGCTGAACCTCACTCGTAGATTCCTTCGAAAGAGAGCAGCTTTCCGCTACAAGTTTCAATTGTTCGTCTGTTGGTTACGGCTAGGAGAGTTCAAAGAGGGAAGAGAAAAAGGAAGAAGTTTCACCTACAAGATAACCCGCCGCTGGAGAAATAACTCGTGGTAAGTTGTGGATTAAGTTACTCTCATTTTAAACTCATGTATCGTTTTGTGATAATTTTCTTTTCATTTATTTTCATTTGGTTTGGCTGGATTGCACGGCGTCGGGTTGCCGTCAGTCACGTGAATGACACTTGATGTCAACAGCCATCTAGCACCCGCAGATGACTTTCTCATTTAATACCGGCGTTCTTGTCGATTTCACCGCATTGGGTGAGCAGCGACCGAACACAAGTTTGAATTTAAATTCGTTTTATAGCTTTAGCCCATTAATGTCAAGAGGCGCAATCCGTCTTGTCGGAAAGAAAGGTAATATATATAGCGTGTTGCCACTACAGGTTCGTCACATGTAATCTCGTTAGAGCGAGAATTAATTAGGCAGTAGCGGTGCTTGGACTTATATTATGGGATATTAATGGTGAAAAATTGTAGATTTGAACCACGTTAAGTGTCATCATCATTAACCTTGCTTTTATGTAGAGAAGGGCTGAGGGAAAGGAATCACCATAAACATAAATAACCTGTAATAAGCTACTCTGTCTACCTCTGTCATTTTACCCTCTATCTCGATCGTATTATAACCATGAGAACATTCTTTTGGTGAGCGTTTCAGCGGGCTGTGTCATGCGTTTCATAGGGTTTCGTCATTAAGAACTCGTCTTTAATGTTTCTTTAAATCTCTGCAGCATCGTAAAAAGTCGACTTTTCCCCATTAAGTCGATGATGTACGGGCTTGCTGACGCCGGGTACTTAATGCAGACTCACGCTGACTAGGATATTGCATATATATATTATTCTTAACACAGTTAGAACGCTTGAAATGCTACCTTAGCGGCTGCTGAGAAAGTCAACAGTCTGTCAGCTATCGCAAAAATCGAATTGCTTTGCTTTTCTTCGTCTATTTTCTCTTAAAAAAGAGCGATCGCCATGGTGTCAGCGACACTTCGTCCCATCGGTCATTGGAGTTGCATATCGTCGATTTCCATATGCATGGATGTACTTCGGTGTAATTTTAAAGGAATGATTCTTTCCATTCTGGGAATTATGTATCTATTTTATGCAGGCGAAAAGGGATAAATTATGCATAGTTTTCGTTTTCAGTACAAGTATGGTGCATTGTTATACATGTGTACATATGATAATGATAGGCCTACACGTAGGACACTATAAAGGGAATCATGTTTTATAGGGCCCAACAGTTTTCCGAGGTAGGGACTAATTCTTCCTCGTTTTCCTGTAAACAAGGTTGGTGGTCAGCTACTACAAGTGGCCAAGGAAGCGTTGGCCCGGTCAGAATTGAAGAAGCCAGCGAGGTCTGACAACTGGCGGAGATCTGCAGTAACCAGTGAAATCACCAGCAGCGTCCATCCTGAGGGAGTTCACCGCGTGCGTGTAGTGGTCAAGACTGCCCAAACTGGACCCTCCAAGTTGGTGGTGAGTACACAGATGTGTCCGTTCGCTGCTCCTCCTTCCATTTCAGCGTTCACGTAACTCGTCCGCTTTGACGTTCTACCGCCGGCCAAAGCACCGCAGTAATTAAACGAAACGCGTAATCGCAAGTGACATAAGTGTGTCTTTCCATTTAAATCAAAGCCGCTCTGGGGTTGGTTTCACACTGGCCGACGTGGGAAGGGTAGTTTTCTAGCTCAATAAGCGTTAGATAAGCAAGTGTAAAAGAATACGATCTCTGTCCACCAAGTGCCAAGTTTATTGCCCGCTTCCCCTTGGAAGTTGCGTTTGATCCGCTGCGCCGTGAGACCACCTCCGCCCTGATAAAGCTATTTGCATGGGTGGTATTCTGAACTCCTCGTTTTCTGGAATTTTACTGTAAAAATGAATCTACAGATAAGGCTGGAATGAAATGAAAGGAAAAGCAAGCTGAAATGCTTCTTTAACCAAACAGCATTCTTTCTGTCAATCCACATGACTTACATGTAGATTTATCTTTTATCTCCTTCTGTTTACTCTTTCTATCTTTCTCTTTTTTTCGTCAGAGCTTTTTAACATAAAAAATCGAGTAGGTATTGCTCAATGGAGATAAAAAAAGTAGCGAATTGATTGGGCAATTTAACTTGTCGTCTTGGAACGCAACATATTCCCTTCATTGTAAACTTAACACCACTTCCAATTATAGATAGACGAAATGAAGCAGTAGATTTAGTCAATTTTGGTTTGTAAGTTTCAAAAAAAAAAAAAAAAAAAAAAAAAATTGTAAAAGGCATACATATTTATTAGGTTTTGCGAATTAAATATTTAACTATTTTAGCGTTTTCTATCCTGAGAACGAGTGCGCACAGTTAGATATAACAACTAAATAAGCTTGTCCAAGGTCAGAAATTTGATATCCGAAACGGCATATTTAAGTTAATGTAAACATTTTTCATATTTGTCTATTTAAAGTGGCCTCCGTTGAATAAACTTTGATTGATGGCCGTGGTAGTTAGTAACTAGGTATAAATGTCTGTTTTATATTTTCAACAACATTCATATTCAGCCCTGGCAAAGTTAAGTATAGCAAGTGTTATTAGATAAAAATGATTCGAAAAAATGTTATTGTCTCCAAGTTGGAAAGACACCAAACATAATCCAGTCTGTTAGAAAATTTAAAAAAAATGTATAAAAAAGGACAAACGTCACGGTATAAAGGTTTATTTAATGTCTAAAACTAAAGAAAAAAGAGCTTAATGTTTAAAAAGAGACATTTTTAGGACAAATTGCAAGTGCTGCGGACCTTTTACTATTATGTCTTGACGTTGATTTATCCGAGGTGTTACGCAATGGATCACGGTGTAAACAACCCGGACGCGAAATTACAGTAAAAAGCACGCATTTCTATTAATCACAGAACAAAAGTGGATGTGTGGCAATGGCAGACTTCAAAGAGTTAAGAGTCTATATGAAGAACCATTACTCGGCCACTCCAAACACTAAAGGTCATTGTGGAAAAGTATTCTAAACCTAAACGGGGAATGAGGTGAGTTATCGAATTCGGCTCGCGAAACTGTAAATTTTCAATACTAAGTTAAAAAGGGAAGATGCGGATCATATACAACAGCTGAGGAAACTTGGAACGTTATCGCTCTTATTTATCGAATACTTAGTATTATTATTATTATTCTTTATTTTTCTTTGAAAACACGACAGAAAAGAAAGGCTGATGCAAGCGATACGGAATGTTGTGCATTTCACCAGGACTGGAGAAAACATTTTTTAATAGAAAACATGCCTTAGGTAGAATACACGATGTGTCGGGCCTCCTTGTGCTTCTGGCGGCTGATTATCAAACAAAGAATTGAATATTTGTATTGTGTCGCAAGTTACAAAATTACTGTAATACGTGAAGGATTTGGAAGACGTTCCAAAAGCCCTTTCTTCTGAAAAACAATTTGAATCTGTTCATCTAAATGTAAATAAAATCCTGTAACATGATTTTATTTCTTACATGGCGCGACAGGAAGCTCACCTTTGCGTCAGCCAGTGTATTTTTATATTTTCGAAACACAAAATAATGCTTTAGCCCCGAGCTGCAATAACGGTCCGGAAATGAGACATTTGCGTGATCAATTTAAATATTTCTAGAATTTTTCGATCAAATTCTAGGACGCCGGTTTATCTTTTCCTTCTCAGCTGCACTCGTTCACAAGGTTTCTCTCTCTGGCGACTCCTCGGCGCCGGGATTTTTTTCTGCCTCAAACCGAAGCTGCATACTAACATTCTTTTACTAGCTAATCAATTGTGGATATATTCTATCGCAAGAATACAAATTACACTGTCGATATCCAGTAGCAATTCTAAAATACTGCAGATATTGTTTAAATATATTCTTGTCACCTGCGAATTGAAATATTGTGTATTTTTCATTAAATTTGTTCTGATATTTCATTATGTTGTCTTTTACTGGATAACTTAACGCAATTAATTTTATGTTTCTTATTTTTCGTTGTTTCGACTTTATAAGCTAAGAAAAGGTACAGACGTTTGATTCTTGTCATTTAGAAATCTTAATATATAATTTATTTCTATAATTCATAATTCTAATTTCTAATATTTTAAATACAATGACAGTGGTCGATTTTCTCCATACAGTCCACAATATAATAATAGATCACCCTTAACAGCATTGTTTGAAATATACAGTCACACTGAATATACTTATTCTTCAAAACAGCGTAGAAATTATTCGAAGTTTTAACTAGCGCACCACCAACACGGTGACAACAAGAATGTCACCGCAAACGTTTCACCTGTCCTCTCATGCCTCGCCAGGCGCCATATGTGTCATGTTGTGGCCTGTATACTACAGAGAAACTCGTCGTTCTCAAAATCAAATAATTTCAATTATTTGGGCGGCCCGGAGTAGATCAAAGGTATCGAGTGACCCAGTTGTAGTACATCAGTTGTAGAATTAAATGTGGGATTGGGAAGGTGGTGGTGTTACTGGTAAAATAAGGGCCCATTGAGCAGCTCAGGACAGTGCAGGGGGAAATGGGGGAGGGGGCGGAATATAGGTTTTACCTTTGCCTGGGTAAGGTGGTCTATTGCCCAACCCGTTTTGGCTGTCCAGTGAATTTTTTCAATTCAAATGAGGTCCGATTGGTAAACATGAAGTCACACGCATTTGTGCATTCGATTCTCATAGAAAAGCAATAGGTTAAATATTAAATAAAAAGAAAATTGTCTAAGGGAAGGAAAAAAAAAAAAAAAAGAAATGAACAGAACAAAACAGAAAAGAAATGACAGACTGAGAAAAAGACGGAACAGACAGATATGCATATGCTTGTAGCCAGACAGGGAAACAGGCGGACAGACAGACAGACAGACAGACAGAGATAAACATATTTATCCTGGTTATACCAATAACTGTATAAGGCCACTCCATCAGACACCAATAACAACAAAAACGTTAGTTTCAGAATCAGAAAAATGCACTCACAAGTACAAGTGATACCCAAGTAATTCAAGAAACGAGCATCTTGAAAAATAATTCAAGTAGCAAGAGTGTGTCCGAACCTTTGATCTCCTAGACGGGATAACTCAATTCCAACTCTCACTTCCCATGGATTTGTTTGTTTGTATAGGAAGATACGCGTGCCGGCGAGACTGGGCGTTATGACCGCACCAAACGCAATGGACATTGGTCACTGGTAGCATTAAGTGCACTGACTGGCGGCTGCACTTATAAGGGACGCACTTGTTAATGAACAGTCAGCACTAAGATGGGTGGATCTGCTGTTCGTGTGATGTCTCTTTTAAAATGCGTCGTTAAGTCGCTCCAGTTCTGAGAATTCTTGTGGAAAAAAGTGGGCGCGCTGGGAAGTGAAATTATAATTGGATAAGAGACCTATTGATTATTATGAATTTAATATACAATGAAGTTTGCACTATTAAAACTATTGGAATCATCTCTTAAGTGCACGGAAATCTATTCCTAAAGTGCTTGTAAAACATGTCCAAAATGCCCTCTTCGCCTTCTATAATTTTATGTGGGTGAGTAGGCGCGATACGATATGTATACCATTACGTAGTATTTGCTGAAGAACACTGTCTTCTCCTCTCTCTCTCTCTCTCTCTCTTAAAGAATCAGTTCTCCTCGAGGAGCCATAAAACATCACCGTCCTATTAGTCAACATCTCTGCAGTTTGTTCTCTGCAAATGGAATACTCTTGTCGATTGGTAAAATTTGATTATTCGCTCTCTCGAGAGATAGTCAGACAATGTGTCCAAAGGATAATTATAACAATTTGACGCCGCTGTAGGCGTATTTAGAAGTTTTAGTCTGTGACAAGATGTTCGACACGTTGATAAATCTAAGGCGGGAACATTACTGATGATTATCAATACGTAGATTAAAATTAACACTGACACTGATGGAAAAATTAACCAGGATTTCTGCTGAACTCAGTTGGCCGTTTGAATTTCCCGGGGGTAGAGTGTGATGAGGTCTGAGTGGATTCTTTCCTTTAAGAATGAATGTGATCTTATTGCAAGAGTATAATAATAATAGAATCCTTGATCAATAGGCTTATTCCGTTATTTTCAAATAAATAAATAAATGCATAAATAAATAAAATTCAACCGTTATTGACAGCTGCATTTTCAATAAATTAAGGGAAGCACGTTAAATTCTGCGTTTAAATTTGTGGAAAAATATTTCTGCTTTTATTTCATGATAAGCAGTAATGGAAGTGTAAGAAAGTTTAACGCTTATTCAGCAGGGTGAAGATCCTTTTGTTAACTTCAGCACATTATGCGCTTCTTATATGTTTTTTCTTACCTGACCCTTTAAACCTTATCAACCCTTTCAAAAAATATATAGATGTTAATTAATCCAATTATAAGTGTCATATAGAAAAATAAAAATTAAACAGATTTAAAGAAAAAGAAGATAGTTATTGAAGGATGCAAACCTATTCTAAATATTGTCACTTTCAATGAAATTATCCATTTTAATATCCTAAAATTGTGTAGAGAAAGAGAAGGTTCATAGGTTACACCACGTGCATGTCTATGACAAATTACTATGTTTACACTAGAAGAAGATTTTTTCTATCATCATTCAATGTAAACCTCTCCAATACTTACCTCAACTTATTTCTGTATATTTCGGAAACCACATTTCCCGCCCACCTCTAAAATAGCCATCCGCATTTAACATACTTCAGCAGGATATCGGTGACATTTAGGGGGTATTTTCATCATGGCTTTCAGTCAAATAATGTTTATTTTGATATCGATCCTGCAGACATTTCGAGACTCTTTTCAATTCAAATTCGAGTCTAGTATCAACGATCCGGAACTTTGTTTTAGAAAGTTACTGTAAGACCTAGTCGAGTGTCTGTATTAGAGGTAATTTTGATCGATTTTCTTTTCAGTTTTTTATCTACTTCGGGCAGCACTTTTTATATCCTCACTTCTCTTAACTGCATTGACAATACTGCTGGTGACTAGTTTTTTCTTATAGATCTGAAAAAAATCCTAAAAAATGCCTAAGCTAATTTTGCTGAAAGTGGCATTATTAAAACTCTGTATGCGTGTATTTAGCCCTGTATGGTATTTTCAGCCTTTATGAGGTTAAAGACATTTAATTATAAACAAAATGAAGTCACATCACTGCTCGTATGAAATATAACTAGCACACACCGCGAACTAAGGGTCGAACATTTAATGTTGAACTTAAAAACGAACCCTCTGTCTAATTTTTTAAACGAAAAAATTATTTCATGTGTGCATTTTACGAAAAAAAAAAAAACATTTTGTTGATTATTCTTTAGACGTTAAGAACGGTGGCGTCAAAATTTTTTGATTGGGGGATTATCCAATAATATTTTTTTTGTGGCAAACATTGGTTTGCCTGATGTAACGTTGTCGTTGTCGCCCTTCATACTGTCAGTCTCTAGTAAATTTATGAAAACACAACTCTAGATATAGAACCGTCATCTGTCATACAAGCGCAGTTTGAATATCTTATTTTTAAATGTATAAAAATTCTTCATTTTGTAGAAAAAATGATGCAGTATTTTCTTAATTCCAACCATTGATTAAAAAAAATTTTCAACCATTCAAGCGCTATTGCTAAACCATAGATTTTGCTGGTGATTGAAAGCGTGATTTGACAGGTTAATTTTTCTCGACATTGCCTTTATTTCCCTATAGTTCATGCCGATATCTCAACACAGTTCTGATTAATTCATCAATCATCACACTGATGTTTGTTTCAATGATTCTTTATTTCTAACCTAAGTATGTAAACGTATACATACCGAATAAATTTTACATAGAATCAAAAATTGCACATGAACAGATAGTAATGTGGTTTATAATTAAAATTTAAGAAAAGAATTGCGCAACAAATGCGTCAGGCGGACGGCTAGAGATACGGAGAATCATAACTACTAGTAATATTAATTAAAATATATACATTCAGAGTGACTGCATTGATAGAAATCCATTTAATCCTAAGAAGTTGAAACGTCT